CAATCATAGTAATTAATGGTGGCCTTAAGTACTAATATAAAGACCAAAGTGATAGAAAAAAAGCATTTCAAAATAACTTTACTGTTGTGCTTTATAACAATGATTTTCTAGTAACATACAAGGCATGGAGAATAAAATCAGATTCAGGTGTAGAGGATGATGAGAATAGGTAGGGAAGAAGACATTTTCAAATTAAACATGCCCTTCTTTCCCAGATTCTGAAGAGTATTTATTTGGGAATCACTGAATCAACAGTGTCATGTCCTTTAGGTAGACTGAAGTGAAACAAGAAAATAGACTGACTGAGGAAAACTGCTTCTTAGGTTTTTAAAAAGGTCCTAAAAAAATATTTCTTTTTATTTGTGTGTGTGTGTGTGTGTGTGTGTGTGTGTGTGTGACACATGTGTGCAAGTGCTCAGAGGCCAGAGAGGGCATTGGATCCCCTGGAGTTGGAGGTATAGGTGAATGGGAATACCTAATGTGGGTGATAGGAACCAAACTCAGGTCGTCCGGGAGAGCAACAAATGCTCTTAACTGCTAAGCCATCTCTTCAGCCCCTATATTTTAGTTTTAATAATTGTTTTTGCATAAATAATTCCTAGTCATCCTATTAATATTTGTAAATATGTATATTCTGTGATGGAGATAAAAAACTGAGAAATCTACTCATCTTGTTTTCAAATAGTTCATGGTTTTACTGGGGAAATGCGAATGTAAATAAATACTGGGAAAATAGGGCATACAATACATATAATGGCACAAAAGGGAAAGGTATCTTTTTGTAAACAAGAGTTAGGATGATAAGATCAGGACTGTTCAAATTGAGTTTAAAGAAATGAATCACAAAATTAAAGGAGAAGGAAAAGAATGTTCACACATACAAAATCAACTCACTCTCTCTCCCTCTCTCTTTCTCAGTCTTTTTGAAACAGGGTCTCCCTGTAGCCCCAGCTGGCCTGGAACTCCTAGGCTTGAATTCATAGAGATCTGCCTGCCTCTGCCTCCCAAGTGCTGGGATTGAAGGCATGTGCCACCTCACCCAGCTACAAAATCAATTTTGAAAAGTTTGAAAAAAGAAAGAACATCACTAACTGGTTAAAATGTGTCAGGATAATAAAGGCATTGTAGACATGCTGTGTCTGTTTATCTACCTAACATTCTTACATTTCACTTTTATGCTCATTTTAGAGAGAGTGAGTCAAGCGGCCAGCATATAGTTTGCCACATTATCAAACAACTGAAAAATAATTGGACTGTAAGATCTGAAATCTAACATCAAACAGCTCTTGCTATGTCCTTCAGAAAAGTCACAGTCAATCTCTTCAAGCATTTGGTAAATACTGTTACTTGATCAGAGTAATCTCTCAAAACCAGGACCTGTCTAGGAAAGGTCCCAAAGAGTGAGGGCTCATAGAGTCACTACCAGCTGATAAGAGTTAACACACAAATTGAAACCCCAGTCCTATTCCCAGTTGAATTCTTTCTCCACATGTTCCTCCTTTTAAATTTAAAGAATGAGTCAAGTCTTTGATAAATTTCTTCATTCATAGGTTTAAAACCAATTTCCCTCAATTATTCTACATGTAATAGCATATTGTCCACCTCATCATCCTGGCAATTCTTCACTGGAAAAGCTTATGTAAAATAATGTTCTGTGAAGTTAAGAGAGATGGGTTGGTAGTTAAGAGCATGCACTGCTTTTCCAGAGGACCTGAGTTCAGTTCCCAGTTTGCAGTCCCCACATCAGGCTGTCCACAAGTGCCTATAACCCCAACTTGAGAGGATCTGATGCATCTGGCCTCTGCAGGCACTTGCACTCACGTGCATATAACCTACATACAGACACGCACATGTAATTTAAAATAAAAACTGAAAATAAATACAATGCTGCATGTATGAACATACATAGAACCCCCGCCTCTTCCTACTTTTGGGATATGGTTTATGAAGGATTGCTTGACCACTCTAAAAAGTCCTGTTATAGTTTAATAACTTTTTTATTAGTGTTTATAATAGATGGTAAGTAAACCAGAGATCAAGTCCCCTATTAAAACCTACAGCAGGGGCTAGAGAGATGGCTCAGAGGTTACGAGCACTGGCTGCTCTTGCAGAGGACCTGGGTTCAGTTCCCAGCATTCACATGGTGGCTAACAACTGTCTATTAACTCCAGTTCCAAGGGATCTTACACCCTCTTCTGACCTCAGCAGGCATTGCATGCACGTGTGCACTTACAAACATTCAGGCAAAACACTTATACACATAAAAAAATAAATAAACAAATAATTTAAAAGCCTATAGTCACAGTAGTACGTGTCTGAAAATCCCAACACTTTGGAGTCTGAGGCAAGATAACCACATATTTGAGGCTAAAATGAGTTAAAAAGTGAGACCCTGTCTCAAGCAAAAGAAAACGAGACAAGACAAAACAACAACAACAACAACAATAAAAAACCCTTTATGTCTTCTGCCTCATAGTCTATAAAGTCACTGGTAATGTGGCACCTATCTGCCTCTGCTGTTTTACTTCACACCACACTTCTATATCAGTTTTTCCTCTTTCAACAAACACATCAAGTTCTGACTTGGGCTAGGGAGTTATTTGTTTCCTCTGTTGAGACTACGTTTCAGATCTTAGCAATCTGTCCACTTTTTTGACACCAGGTCTCAGGCCAAGTGTAGTCTCCTTAGGAGACCTGACAATTACTGTCTATACAGCAGTTCCTCTCTCCTGATCCCCTCTTACACAGCTCTATTTCTTTTACTGCAAGTGCAGATTTTAAAAAATTTGTTTACTATCTATTGTCTTCTTTATAAGCATAAGATATTTGACTATTTTGACCAATCAAGACCAGTAAGAATGCTGCTTGCACAGAACTTAAAATCAGTATTTATTAACCTGAAATTTACATTACAGCTACGTAGCTCTGCAAACCTAGGTCCTACAAAATGCCCAGTAGATAGAAGATCTGTACATGAAGGATGATCTTACACAACTGGATATTCACCTGGGATCTCTAGCCAGGACGCTAGTTCTAGTACTTTTTTCTATGTATGAGTGTAATGCCTGCATGTAGGTAGGTGTACCCGTGTCATGCATGCCTGTGGAGGTCAGAAGAGCGCATCAGATCCCCTGGTACTGGCGTTATAGACAGTTGTTAGTTGCCATGTGGGTGCTGGGAATCGAACCCAGGTCCTCTGTAAGAGCAGTCAGTGCTCTTAACCACTGAGCCATCTCCCAGGCCCAGGATATTAGTTCCTTAAGTTAGAAACTACTCCAATACAATTATTTTCCACTCTTGTGGCATAATTTTCTTTGTTATTTATGAACAAATTTCTTGCTATATATTCAGATCCACTTAGTTATTAAGTTATAGTGATTTTCCTTTCATTTTTCACACATATTTTCTTTCTATTTCTACTACCAAATTTCAGTTCAACTCTCACTACGTTATGGTTACATTTCTGGAATAGCTACCTGTCAATGTACATGCATTTCATCTCTTCTCCCTCAAATTTATTCTTCACAGAAATCCCAGTCAAGTCTTACATGAATTTCCCAGGTCCACTAACCAAAAACTGTAAAGACCTTACTTAATCTAGCAAAATCCTTGTTATTTTTAAAGCCAATATCATTAAAATAAAGATATGACTAGGGAAAAAAGGTGGTAGCCTCTTATAGGTCCATAATAGTAGTCTGCAATTAATGAGACACATACTGAAAAGCCAATTAAGTATAAATTCCTTAAGAGACTTTTGTTTATGTGGCTCACTGTTAATCTGCCCCTGAAGTAACTGAGATGCAGCAGGAGTCAGTAAATATTTGATTAAATAAATGAATGCTTTAATGAATAAATGAATGATTCTAAACCCAAGAATGAATCCCATAATGAAAAGAGTGTCTGCTGAAGATGAGTGTAGCACTTAGGTACAAAGAGATTAGTTAGTAGATTATTTTCATAAAATATTGGACGCTAAGTTCTTCTACTTTTTCTAAAGAATTTAGATGAAATCCTCACACGTCACATACCACTGAAGGGGACAGTACTAAAGGTAAGAAAACTGGAACACAGAAAGGCTAAGTACCTGTATGTGACATTCAACTAGCAGATATAATTTTAAGACAATAAAAGCAATGGTAAAGGACTGAACTAGGATGGTCACTCTGAAGAGAGAACAAGATAAATTGGAAAAACATTTCATAGGTAGAGGCTAGAGATGTAATTGGTAAAACACTTCCATAGCCTATCACATCATTAGGACCTGTACATCTGCTTTCACTGATATATGTAATTTTTAACACCATGGAAATGATTAAGTAACAAAAACGTATCACCAATTTTAGATCAAATACAATAAAGTTTTAGTACGTTCTTCTTATACCAATGGATAGACTTAAATCTAAAAAAAAAAAAATTACCATGCATATTTGAATGTACTGTGCTAATTTCTGTTTTTATATAACATGGACAGACTAGATTCTAGCCATTTATATCATTCCTGAGAAACATTGACACACTGAGTGTAAGAGCTCCTTTTGAAGCCAATTTTGCCAATATAACTTACAAATCTTGGGGAAGAAGAATTATTGCAGCAGTTAAGACTGTGTACCACTAAAATTATAAATAGCCGGGCATGGCAGTGACAGCTATACTCTCAGCACAAGCTGAAGCAGGAGCACTGGAATTTGAGGCCAGCATTACACAGCAAAACAATAAAACAAAACAACTCAAAATTCAACCCACTCCACACACACACACACAAATTTTGTACTAGATTCAGAGTTGACATAAACTAATTCATTGTAAATTTAAAGTTATTACCACAACCTGAGATTCACCTGTATCTTAAGATGACTTATAATAAGATAAGAAACATCAAAAAATATGAAGCTTCTTCTTTTACTATTACCAATAAAACTTCTTAAAGACTTCTAAAAGTAAAACCTACATTCAAAGTGAATTATAAACTTAACAAAAATTCAAGTAAAAAGTTCTCTTACCCTGTCTAGTTCCAGTGTAAACTTCTGGTCCCAAGATTGATTGGAAATGGGCTTCCAGCTAGTTTGACCAACCACAGTATTATCTAGCTTCAAAACAGCACAGACATCATCTGTAATTAGAATTTAGATGTTTGCTTAAAAACTTTAAACGGTATCCCAATATGATAGTATTAAGACTCTTTGAAAAGAAAGTTTTCCATGATCAAAATGAACTGTTTGGATCTTAAATGGCCATTTTCATATATGTGAATACTCCTACTAGATCCTCCCAAATTAGCTTTCATGTATGATTGGAACATAAGCACTAAGTGCTATTTCACACATATAAAAATTCAACTAAAAAGACAAATAGGTAGCTGTTTTCCACGTTGTTGGTAGATGTATCTGTAGCAATCATCCAGATTTTCTCCCTCTCCATTTGCTACATACAGAATTTGTTCCCTCAAAACAATTCTTAAGTTCATATCTCTTCCAAAGCTGCCCTTTAAGTACAGGCCATGTCTATATCCTATAGTGCCCCGAGTTGTCATCTGCCTAGTTATACATTAAAGGTGTACTTTGTTTTAGAATGTCTTCAAAACACACTGAAATCTCTTTCTGATTTTTCCATACCCTGTTTACCACCCTATCTAAATTGATTACTGAGTGACTATCCCAGCACACACACATCTTACCCATTAGTTATTTACCCAATTTTCAGTTTGGAAACGTGCTTGGAATTGCTACTAAACCATTAAGAATCAAACTGGGAACCTAGAAGAATAAGTGTCATGGTTTCTCTATACCTTCATGTTGGCATAAAGACTGATAATAATGAATTCATGTTATCTGCCATTCATTCTCACGTATTTTCAAAAGAGTAAAATTTGTTACTTTTCTGCTTCCTATAAGTCCCTTTAATTTGTGATATGATTTTAAAAAGTATGGTTACTGAACTGGACAGGTCATCGGTTTTTAGGAGATTTCGACTACTTCCACTTTTACTTTTACTCGTTCTGCTCATGAAAGACGATCTGTTTTCACTGGGACTCCATCCAGGCAGTGCAACTGATGTTGCTTTGGACCGTCCAGGAACATTCTCTAGGATATCTTGGCACCCCATAAGACGAACTTCCAAAGTACCTGTTAACAAATAAATACCAACAAAGAACAGCATTCTTAATACACAGAATCAATCATGTCTGCTGCCTGTTTAAAAAGAGAAAAAATAAAGGTGATTTACTAAAATAATGAAAACTCTTCTTGTAGAGGATCTGTGGGGATCTACCATCTTTCTTGTTTCATTCAAAGAAACGACTGAAAGCTCTTAAAGCAACTGTAACACCTTAAAATTTAAAATTATTTATTTTTATTTTATGTGCATGAGTGCTTTGCCTGCATGTATGTAACTATACCATGTGCATGCAATGTCTACAGAGACTGGAAGAGGGAGCATCAGATTTCCCTGGAACTAGAGTTACAGATAGTTGTTAGCTGTCATGTGGATGCTGGGAACTGAACCCAGGTCCTCTGCAAGAGTAGCCAGTGCTCTTAACCACTAAGCCATCTCTCCAGCCTCCAAATTTAACAACTTTTATAGAAAAGCATAGTACTAACCAAACATGATAGGATTCATTTGTTATGTCAGCTCTTACGGCTGCGGCAGGAGGATTGAGGCTTTGGATAGTTTGGATTACAACGAGAATACTAGTCAATACTAGTCAGTCTGGGTTACATAGGAGATATTTTTTCTTTTTCTTCTTCTTTTTTTTTTTGTCTTTTTTTGAGACAGGGAACCCTGTAAGCCCCAGCTGGCCTGAATTCACTATGCAGATCAGGCTGGCCTTGAACTCACAGATATCCTCCTGCCTGTGCCTCCTGGGCACTGAGATTAAAGGCGTGAGCCATCATGCCTAGCTGCTATGTCCAGCCAAGATCCCTTTTCAAGAAACTATAACAAATAACTAACAACAATAAAGGAACAAAACAATACCTCCTAAGGCTATCTGTAGGGTACAAAATAAGCTTTATATGAATATTCATTTTAAACTTTTTATCTATTATTTTTTATTTTATGGGCATGAGTGTATTGTCTGCATACAGGTAGGTGCATGGGTGTTGTGCAGTGCCTGTGGAAGCTGGAAGAAGGAGTTGGATTCCCTGGAACTGGAGTTATGGACAGTTGTTAGACACCATGAGGGTGTTAGGAATTGAACCTGGGTCTTCTGCAAGGGCAGCAAGTGCTTTAATGGCTGAGTCACCTCTTTAGTCCTGAATATTCACTTTATAATCACAAAGATTATAGAATTATGTGGGCAGAGAATGTGAGAGGGGGAAAAAGGAAGCTAAATAACATGCCTATTAAAATAGGATATAGATTAGATACAAAGAATTCTGACTGAATAACAGCTTTGTTAACAGTAAATAGTTAACATAGAAAAGTACTTCACAGTGTTTTCTGTGTAAACAAAGAGTTCTGTTCTATTTGAGATGTAAAATTACTATATTTTCTATTATGGGTTGTAATTAAGCATAAAATAACTGTAATTTTCTTAGACAAATAACCACTGAAGGTGTTCAAATGCAAACAAGGAACTGTGACTTAAGCCATCTTGACACATGGCTTTGACATTATTTGGTCTAAACTTAGAATTAAAAATGTCTCAGTGTTTGGATTTTAGATAGTGCAAACACTTAGGAAGGCCAGTCCCTAGTAAAACTGCTCCATTAAATTTAAAAATGATTGTAATTTAATATTTAAGGTTTTTATAATTACTAAAAAGTAACTTAGGAACCTATATTTCTGAACAAGAAGGAAAAAAAATGCCTCCCAATTCAAACAACTAAAAAACCAGATTAAATATATAAAACAAGTGTCAGAAGACACTGGACCTCAGGCAACGAAGCACAGTGGTCCCTGGAGGATGAGACACAAATGAGCCTTAGACTGCTCCTACTTGCTGTCTCAAACCTTCCAGTAGGTAGGAGGGACTCAGGGGAACCTAGAGATTGAGAGAACAAGGCAGCTAGAGATGAAGGGTAAAGGGAAGATCTTTAGGTTTCCCTGACAACACATTCATCCAAGTACTAGCCAGATCCTGACTGAGATGTAAATATCAGAGGCAGAGAAGGAAGCCACTAGAAAGAATAGAAAGAACAATGTTCTGTGTGGGTATATAGAAGGAACAGTGTCTGTCCTCACTAACCATGAAAGAAAAATCTCAATCCATGGCTCACTAGAGGCAGTACTCAAGAGTTTTGCTCCAGCAACAAAAAGTAATTATGCCCAAATAATGCATTTGTTGTACATACAAGATCCTAAAAACTATATTTTAAGGATCAAATCACTTCTAGATAACTGCATTCTGGACCAAAGCTTAAGAACTCTTACTCAATAAGGCAAAATTCACACTGTCTGCTATCTAATCTTATCAAGTGAGTTTGTTTTCTATTACCACATTAAAAATTAACAGAAGTTTGATGACCTGACCTAAGTGCTACAATTAGCGGAAAATGACTTTAAAATAATTACATCTACATTATATCTGCTGAAAAGTTAAACAGAGATATGAAAGAAAAAGATCCCAAACTAAATTTCTAGAGATAAAAGGACGATGTCTACAACATCTTTAAAAATACATTGGATGGGGCTGGAGAGATGGCTCAGTGGTTAAGAGCACTGGCTGCTCTTGCAGAGGACCCAGGTTCCATAACAATCTGTAACTCTAGTTCCAGGGGATCCAGTGCCCTCTCCTGCTCTCTTCAGGCACTGCACACATGTGGTGCATATACATTCATGCAGGCAAACATACACATAAAATTATATATATATAAAACATACATACTAGATGGTGGAATTGGTAGCTAATTAAATACTGCAAAATAAAAGGTTACGTTAAAGACATAGCAACAAAAATCATAAAAAACAGAAGGAAAAGAGAACAATGCATATGTGAACTATGAATTTAACTTAGTATAGCACCACATCTGCTTAACTGAAGCTCCTGATGAAAAGTAATGAGAATCAGAACAGAAATACACACACACACACACCATATACATATAAATGAGCCAGGCATGGTGGCACACACCTTTAGTTTCAGCACTTACGAGGCAAAGTCAAGCAGATCTCTGAGAGATTGAGTATAGCCTGGTCTGTGTAGTGATTTCTAGGTCAGCTGGGGCTACAGAGAGACACTGTCTCAAACCAAACAAAATAGAAACAACAATAAAAAAAACAAACAAAAACAAGTGGCTAAAAATTCTCCAAATTTGATGAAAATTTGGAGCCCAAGATGCTCAATGAATACCAAATCAAAGCATGAGAACTAAAGCACTTCATGTTCTGACTTTTCAGGACCAGTGACAAAAACAAAACACTAATGGCTATAAGATGAAAATAATATCACATACAGACAAACAAGATTAGAACGGCAGCAGATTTCACAATGGAAACAAAAGCAAACTATCTTAAGTCTGTATAGTTTATGTCTAAAATACCCTATAAAACCATCCTAAAGATTGAATATGGATGATAACGGGACAAATATGTATATTTGCTAAAATAATCATAAACTGTATACTTAAAATGGGTGGCTCCTATGGAATATAAAATCTGTCTTACTAAATCTGATAAAGATGGGGAAGAGTGGAACTTCAATTTTTCATCATGTTTGTTAGGATGTCAAAGATAAGCCAGATTAAGTATGCTGGTTATCATTTTTCTTTTAGTTCAAAAGAAACAACTTCTGTTTTATTTGTTTTGTTGTTACAATGACAAACTATGTTCATTTCCACTGTAAATGCTCAGCTGTGCAAGTCATCCTGGGGAAACTGAAAACATCTGGCTACTACTTCAAATCCTAGTGGCTTATTAGATATTTCAGTAATTTCACTATATCAGGACATGACAATGCTCACCAACTGCTTTCACTTAGAAAAAAAAATCTGGAGGGAGTTAAGACCTTTATTAAACATCTAGACATTTCTTTTTTTTTATGAGGTGACATAATTACAATTGTTTAAAACCACATTAGAAATAGAGTAAAACTTCATTCTTTACCTTTATAAACCATAATATGAAATTGTTTAAAAAAGCAAATCCAATGTTTGTATTCACAAGCAACAGCTACAAATTACATTAGAATATATAAATGCTTTCTTTGTTTCTTACAACTCTGGAAAAGTATTTTAATAGCTATTTTACTAATTCAGTATTGCAACTTCTTACAATTTTGTTGGTGGTGGTACTGCTGTGTTGAGCCCAGCTTGACCTGGAACTCTTGATCCTCTTCCTTCAGCCACCCAGTGTTAGGATTACCACCAAGCATTACCATGCTACCTAACTCCAGGTATAACTGAGTAAATAATTTTTTTTGGGGTCTTTTCGAAGCAGGGTCTCCCTGCAGCCCCAGCTGGCCTTGAACTCACAGAGATCCGCCTGCCTCTGCCTCCCAAGTGCTGGGACTACAGGCGTGCGCCACCACACCCGGCACAGTAAATAATTTTTTAGTTAGACTAGAAAATGAAAAAAAAAAAAGGCTAAATTTCAAAACTGTGGCTTTATTACTTTTCTGGAAATAATATTAGATTTAAGTAAAAAGACACTATATAGTAAACAAAGATTTGAAAACAAAGAAAAAATAATGAACACTGGTAAAATAAACGACACAAGTAAACACTAAAGCAAATATTACAATATTTTGGGTTTGTAATTCCTCTTTTTATTTACCTTATGACTTAAAAGACAAATGCAGAGAAATACAATAACCTTTTAATGGGCATACAGTGTACAAAGACAGTATTTGCAGCAGCAGAATGAAGGGGGTTGCAGCTGTGCAGGAAGAGTTTCTGTAGGCTACTGAAGGCATGCTGATCAATTTAAACAAGACTCCTAGAAATTTACAGATTTAGGATGTTAGCCATAATCATTAAGACAACAGCTAAGAAAAAAAAAAAGTCAGTCCTGCAGATGGATGTCTTCAGAAATTCCCGAGAACTATCAAAACGTGGAAGCAACTCAAATGCCCTTCAGAGGGGAATGAATGAAAAAACTGGCACATCCCGACAATGAGCAATATCAAATGTTAAAAAGAAATGGCTGATTAAGCTATGAAAAGAGAATAAAACTAGGTAAATGTTACTAAGTTTAAAAAACAAAACAAACACAAAAAGCCCCAAAGAAATCACACACCTGAACGCTTTCAGCTATGACAAACTAGAAAAAGCAAAACTCTACATCTGGGTGTGGTAGTGCATGCTTATGATTCCAGAACTTGGGTGAGGAGCCAAAGTATAAAACAATAAAATGATCAGAGGTTACCAGGGTTTTGGAGGATGAGGGAAGGGACAGGAAGCTGACAGAACACAGAGGAATTTTTTTTTTTGGGGGGGGAGGCAGATTCTCCCTAGTCCTACCCAGCCTGGAACTATGTAAACCAGACTGGCCTTCATCTTACAGAGATCCATGTGCCTCTTCCTCCCAAGGGTAACACAAGAGGATTTTAAGGCAGTGCAACTATTCTGATAATATAATGGTACATACACGTCATTATATACACCTTGACCCGTACGTAACATGCACATCAAAAGTGAATGCTAATGTAAACTATGACTGTGGATCAAAATAATGTACCAGTGGGGAGAGTCACTGATTATAAAAATCTACCTGGTGGGCATGGTGACTCAAGCCTGTATTCCAGCACTTAGGAGGCTGAGGCAGGAGGACTGCTATGAGCTTTAGGAAAGGATGGACTACACAGTGAGACTGACTCAAAACACTACCTCCCCAAAAAGGAAACCAAATAATCTGTGCCAATCCGGTTTAAGATGTTGGTAATGGGGGAGTAAATATGCATACGGAAATTTGTGTTTTGGGGGGTTTTTTTTTGGTCTTTTTTGAGACAGGGTCTCCTGTAGCCCCAGCTGTCCTGGAACTCACTATGTTGACCAGGCTGGCCTTGAACTCACAAAGATTCGCATGCCTCTGCCTCCCAACTGCTGGATTAAAAGCATGCATCACCATGCCTGGCAAATCTCTGCATCTCTTGCTCAATTCTCAGTAATTCTATCTATGGCCAGTCTAAAAATAGTTTATTAATTTAATATAAAAGAAAAGAAGGGAATAAAAGACTAGAAAAATCTAGAAAAGGTTGTATCACAAGAACAGGAAAAGAGTAACACTGACCTTCCTAGAAAGACTAGGCACATCATTAGGGGCTTGAGCTGTATAAGACCTTTGTCCTGACCTTAAGAGCAGAGCATTGGCTAGAGCTGATTTCACTCATATAGCAATGACTCATACAATCACACCCACATAATAAAGTTCCAATAAAGACTCAGGACACCTAAAGTTCAAGTGCACTGCATCACTGGTGACACTGATATGTCAGGGTAGCAGATCCTAAGAATGGGAAAGCTTCAAGTTTAAGGCCCTCCTAGATCTTGCTTTTATCTCATCCTAATTTAGACCTTTTTTCCCTTCTGTTACAATTAACTTTTAGTTAAAGTAATGAGTTTCATTACAGCATTTTCATACATGTTTGTCATTCTACATTGTTCTTCTCTCCAAGTCTCCTGGCCCATAGTCCCCTCCCCCCTCCATGGTCCCGTTCCTCCCCCAACAGTCCCCTTTCCTCCCCCTCCAGTCCCCTTCCCCCCGAC